CTTCTTCTTCATGCTCTCCCCTCCCCTCCCTTCTCTCCCCTCCTATCCCTTCTCTCCCCTCCTATCCCTTCTCTCCCCTCCCTTCCCTTCTCTCCCCTCCCCTCCCCTCCCTTTTCTCCCCTTCTCTCTCCTTCCCTCACCTCCTCTCCCCTCCCCTCCCTTCTTCCTCTTGCTCTCCCCTCCCCTCCCCTCTCCTCCCTTCTCTGCCCTTGTCATTCCTCCCCTCCCTTCCCTTCCCTCCCCTCCCTTCTTCCTCTTGCTCTCCCCTCCCCTCTCCTCCCCCTATCATTCCTCCCCTCCCTTCCCTCTCCTCCCTATCTCCCCTTCTCTCCCACCCTCCCCTCCCCTCCCTTATCTCCCCTTCTCTCCCACCCCCTTCTCCCTTCCCCTTCCTTTTCTCCCCACCCTTTTCCTCCCCTCCTTTCTCTCCCCTCCTTTCACTTCCTTTCCCTCCCTCCCCCTCCCTCCCCCCTCCCCCCTCCCCCCTCCCTTCCACTCCCCCCTCCCCTCCACTGCCCTCCACTCCCCTTCCTTCTCCTCCCCTCCCCTCCCCTCCCCTCCCCTTCCCTCCCCTCCCCTCCACTCAAATCCCATCTTCCTTCCCCTGCTCCTCCCCACCCTGCCCCGCCCCACCCCGCCCTTTGCAGTTCCTGAGCGAGGGCTACGCAGCACACCTGGCCGCGCTGGAGACCAGCCACCGCTCGCGCCCCAAGAAGAACAACTCACGCATGATCCTGCGCAAGGGCAGCTTCGGGCTCCACGCGCAGCCGGAGTTTCTGCGGAAGCGCAACCACCTGCGCAGAACCATGTCCGTGCAGCAGCCCGACCCGCCCGCCGCCAATCCCAAGCCCGAGCGGGCCCAGAGCCAGCCCGAGTCCGACAAGGACCACGAGCGGCCGCTGCCCGCGCTCAGCTGGGCGCGTGGGCCCCCCAAGTTTGAGTCGGTGCCCTGAGGGGTGGGCTGTGCACAGAGCAGGGAGGGGGCACCCAACCAGGCTGCCTGCGGGGACTGGAGGGGCGGCCCTCTCCCCGACACAGGCGTTTTCCTGCTTTTTCCCTCCCGTGTCTGTCCAGCAGTATCCGAGCAGAGCGGGGAGGGACCCTGCCCGGCCTTGGGGCTCCCTGGGCTGCGAGTGAGTGAGATCCAGGGGTCTCGATGCAGCCGCCGCTGCCTCCCATGTGCCTGCGACCGCACGCCTGAGTAGGGTTCTTGTTTGTGTCATTCTGGAGGCAGGCTTGCCCCGAGCTGGAGCGTTTGGGCAAAGTCGACCATCCTGAGTCCCCAGGCTTCACAGTTAGCTGGGCTGGCCCTCAAGGGGCAGCTCCAGCCCCGGGACCCAGCGCCGCTGGCAGGCACAGCTTCTCGGCTAGTTTGTGGAGGCGCGAGTGGCATGTGTGCCCGCCCTCCCTGTGGCCCTGGGTCTTGTTTGGGTTGGCGCTCTTATGGCAAGATGGCCACTTTCTGGGAGTGAGAGCGCATCCCCTGGCTCATCTTAATGCCGTCTCTGTCCACAGTCCTGGGGAGGTGGAGTCTGGTGCTGACGGTCTGTCCTGTGGCTGTCCATTGTCCCCAACCCCCCCCCCAACTTGTCCTAAGTGTCCTCACCATTTCTCTGTGGCTCTGGGGGCCAGGAGTTCCTCTTCCCAGAGCGCTGCCTCATGCCCTCCCTCGGGAGGCTGCAGCCTTGGGCTCTGGCTCAGCTGGGCTGGCTGTGAGTCCCTGAGCTGGTTGCTTGCCCTCTCTGGGCCCCTTCTGTTATTGGAGGGATCCCCTAGCTGAGATTGGTGTGAGTCTTTGACTCCAGCGTGTCCTGGAGTTTGGACCCTTGAGGCTTTTCAGGTCTAAGTATCCCTCAGAGTGTCCTGTGACCCATGCCTTTCACACAGCTTGGGAGACAGGGTCTGGGTGGGTTGGGAAGAAGGAGGGGCTCTTAAAAGAGCTGCTCTGGGCTGGCTGGGAAGGGATCCCTACTCCACGAAGAGGTGCAGTTGGTTTGCCTTGCACTGATGCCCAAACTGGGTGTCCCAGGGACAACCCACCTCCATCTCCGACCAAATGATCTGGTTCCCCCTACCCCCAGCTCTGCCAGGACCCATGTATCCTTTTTGGCTCCTGGGGGCATAGAGCAGAGATTCCGGGTTCTAGGGGGTTCCTGGAAGTTTGGCTCCAACTGTCGCATCCTCTTCCCTTTACCCTGCCGCTCAGTTTGTGCCCATACTCTCCTCCTTGGTAGTCCCCTGAGGTCGGCAGGTCTTGGCCCTTCTGGGGCCCCTAAAGCTGGCCCAGGACCTCCTGCCGCTGAGCCTCGGCCTGGGCATTGGTTTCCTGCATCCCCTGGCCCCCTGACTCCCTGGCCCAGGCCCACACCTGCTGTGTGGGGCTGCCCAGGTGGCCTCTGAGCCCCATGGGCCACCTCTGAGGCCGGTCCCAGAAATTTCAGACGTCTGTATCCACAGCAGGCATCTGTGTCAGCTCAGTGTCGCTTCTGCTCAGTGTCTACCTCTCTTGGCTCCCATGCAGCCAATGACGCTGCTGTTGGGGGCAGCTGGCACCACTGTTGTGAATTGGCTGGCAAACTGGGTGCCCTCCTGGGGCTGGAGGGGTCTGGGCTCCCAGCCCTCAACCCTGCTCTCTCCACTAGAAATGTGTCTTCAGTCTGCCAGCTCTTCTGCTCCACTTCTGGCGCCGCCTCCTTCACTCCAGCCTAGGGCTGCTGTTGAGTCTGTGGGGAGGAGTACAGATCAGCCTCAGCCTCAGCCTCAGCCTCCTGTATGGTCCTGCCTCCTGGCTGCTTAGAGGTGCCCATCCCTCCTTAACATTTCACAGTTCTTGGTTTTCCAAAGGCACCAGCTCATATGGCATAGCCACCCAACCCTAATCCTTCCCAAAAATATTCTGATTTAAACTTGGGCAGACTTAGTGTGATTCTTGAAAACTCTTACCATTTCCTTTTTGCAGAAGCCACTGATTACTCTAAAATGATAAATATTTAGTATGAGCTACTTTGCTCCCAGTTAGATTCCCTCTTCCCTGAGAACCCCAGGCTAGGCAAGAGGTGGGGGGGGGAAGGAGGAGGAGGAGGAGGAGGAGGAGGAAGAGAAAGAGAGAGAGAGAGAGAGAGAAAGAGAAAGAGAAAGGAAGACAGAGAGTGAGCACACATGGGCCAGGATCCCTGGGGAATTTGAAGTTAGTGTGACCCGGGTTCTATGGCTCTGGGGGTCGGAGCTGGGACAAGTACCCAGCAGAAGAACCACCACCCCTTTTGGAAGCAGCTCTGGCTCCAAGCAGGAAGGAAGATTGTAGCTTTGACTGACAATGCACACCTGAGATGCTGATGGTGTACAGTAAGACATAGTGAGCACAGCTGGAGCTGTAGTTGGTGTGTGTGAATGTGTGTACATGTGTTTCCATGTCGTGGTGAGACAGCATATGTTTCAGTACGGCTTTCACAGCAACTGTGTAATGCATATGTGCACTGTCGATCCTAGTGGTTTGTTCGGTTTTGTCTGTCTAGTGAAGTTGGAGAAAAAAAGAACCAAGTTGTGTTGTTCTCTGGAGGGGGTGCCGCTGCCTCTCCTTGAGTAGTTCTGTGACCCCCAATCCAGCTGTTTTCTAGAGAATCTTTCTAGCTTCTGGTATGCCTGCTTTCCGGCAGCTGGACCAGATCTTCCCGCCTTACCAAAGCTCCTTGTTTCTTGTGTGGCATGTTCTTCCCGATCTGGCGGCTGTCGTGGCTGGGGGCCTGCTTGCCACCTTCCTTTACCATTTGCCCTGCTGGGGTTCAGGGTGCATCCTTAGCCCAGGACCTGCTCTTCCAGCATCATGGGTTTTTTCCTAAAGATCTCAGCAGCTCCTGTGGGCTCTGTAAAATATTTTTTTAAAAAGCAGACTCCTTTCACACATTGGGATGAACGGCCCTCTTGTTTGGGTGCTGGGCTACAGCAAACGAATGTGTTTGAATTCTAGTATTGCAGAGATTCGTGGTGGTGGGTGCTCTGGAAGAGGCGAGGCTGGATCTCACGGTTTTTAAACTGTATTTTTACCCCTTTGGGACCCATAGCTGTACCCTGGAGTCATTCATGAGGCGAGAGTCCTCTGCATCCTCACTCTCCCACCCAGCCCAGGTGCAGCCCCGGAAGGGGAGCCCTGACCCCGCCTTAAACAACCAACTTTCCCACCGAATCCCATCTGGGGGGGTTTGGGTGCGAAGTGCCCTGGAAACCTATTGTCTTTTGGCTCAGCCAAAAGCAACATCCCCTCTTTCCTTTCCTTCTAGGCTTAGGGGAACTTTCTTAAAAACCATAGTTAGGGTTAAGTCCAAGCCCCGACGCCTGACCTAGGTCCTGCTCTCCTTGTTGAGAAACTAACAGGCTCTTGGGAGGAAAATTTGAATTTGACTCCACCCTCTTTCGGGCAAAGGAGAGGCAGGTGTCACCAAGGAGGGGCAGGCCAGAGGAGGGCGACTTGTGCACAGGGCCCCCCACCCTTGGACCCCGCTGTCCTTTTCTCTTTGTTTACTTGGTGGTGGCAGCCAGCCTGACCTTGTCTGTGGTCTGACTGTTCCTAAGTGTGTAACTTTCAGTATTATCTGTGACAGATGGTTCCGTGGTGAAAAAGGTTTATTATATTCTTTATGGCTGCCTTGTACAAAATCCGTTAGAAACGCTAATGTAAGATACCAGATTTCTAACAAGACAAAAACAGCATTATGGAGTTAAACGGTTTTTACAACTAGTCTTGATTTTGATGTGAGCTGGTTTTTAGCTCTCAAACGTTGTCACTTAAATAAAAACCTTATTTGCCTTTACAATGTGTTTTGCTCTGAATGAAGTTGAGAAACCTTTCCGCTTATACATGTTCTCCCTGGGGTGGGACTGGGGGGCCCCCTGGCTGGGAGCAGCGGTAGATGAGGGCCAGACCCCAAACCACAAATCTATAGCACAGAGTGGTGTGGGAGGGCGGGGGGACGTTGGAGGTTGGCAGTGAAAGGGAACAGATGTCAAAGGCAAACAGTCTTCATTATGAGAAAGCAGTGTTATCTAGGAAAGTCACACGCTGGTTTCTTTCTAATAAAATGACAAAGCACATTTCTTAAATAATTTACAAAGGGCAGAAATTGCTCTTGAACAGGCTACCCCTCCCGGCATACCCACAGCGCTCTGCTTCGAGCATATAAATAGGTACCTGTGAGCCCAGGGTCTTAAGCCTGGAAGTAGCTCCTATGCCCTCCTCTGAGTCCCTGATAGGGAAAGCAGGGATGAGAGTGGGGCCCTCGGGAGCCTTGGCACCAGAAACACAGACAGTGAGTGACTCTGCGGATGACACCCCCAAAACCAGACACCTGGGTACATGGCTAAGAGCTCTCAAACATCGGATGCTAGCACTTCACATTACAGATGAGGCAAATACAAAGCTCAAAGTCAGGTGTATAGAGTTTCTAAGCTCGAGAGTCCCCTGGGAAAGCAGAAGGTACAATTCTCCCCACCTCTGCCAGACACTCTCCCCAAGACACTCTCGGGCTATGGCTGGCAGTCATCGATGGGTCCAGATGTGGCCGGAGCAGGGGGGCTCCAGGCCCCTTGTTAGTCAGGTCCTCATTAGCAGGGGCTCAGGGGTACTGATGACTCCTGCAGACTTCCTCCAGGAAGCGCATGGGGAAGCACAGACATCCTTGGGTGTGAAGCCTTGGCGGTCAGACAGGGCTTGTTTCCTGCAAGACAGAGCTGCCTTTGGGCCCTTCACTGTGCTCCAGGAGGAGAAGCAGGGATGCCTTTCCCTGCCCACTGCAGGGTGAGAGGTGCTAGAAGGTGGCTGAAGCTACTCGGGGCCCCCAGCATGCTCAGTTAGTGATGGGGGTCATGAGGTTAGCTCTGACCTCAAATAGCAGGCAGATACTACTGACTCTGCTGTGCCCATTAGGTCTGTGGGCTTTTTCTTTAACTTACTCATGCGTAAGGTGGAGGAGGACATTGGGAAAGATCTCCGGGGTCGGGGGGGGGGCAGTGGGCATTACCTGCAGGCACTTCATCAGCCATGAATGAGAGAGACGATGTCACCACTAGAGAGAAGGGGAGGGATGGATGCCACTGGGTGTGGTGGGCTCTGAGAGGGCCCTCCCAGTCTAGGCTAGACAAGATCAGACCCAGCCTTAGAGTCCATCATGGCCATTATACAAGTGGAATGGGGAAACAGCCCTGAGTTAGGAGACATCCAGAACCAAGGCCCTGCCCCCAGGATGGGGTCATGAGCGGACAGACCAGGAATTCCATAGCAGTCATGTTGCTTTTCCCAATTCCATAGGCAGGGAGGGCACAGAGGAGCCATGGAGAGTTCTGGAGGAAGGGTAGGCTTTTCAGGAATGGAACCAGCCACATGTGAGATTCCAAGTGATGGACAAATGTGGGGGTGCAAGGCCCAGAAGACCACACACATTCAGGGTGCCTCCTTTACCATCACCCCAGTCCAGGTTTTTATCTCTTCTTGTGTTTGAGATAAGGGAGACTGAGGCTCAGAGAGGGGCAGAGACTGGCCAGGGTCACACAGCAGGTCAGAGCAAAACCGGCACCTGCCTGCAAAGATAGCTGGAGGGGCCCTTCCGGCCATTTCACTTTGAAGCATGGGATGCCAACTCACCTCTCTTCTGCCATGATGGCTTCATCTAGCTCTTGGGACAGCTTCTGTAGGTGCTGAATTCCCACCCCCACAGGCTCTAGGTCGCTGTCAGACTCACTGAATGAAAGAAAAACCCACACCAGTGACTAGTTGCAAACCCCTGGTGGGCCTCATACCAGGGTCTGGTCTTTGGGCCTGGATGACCCTGGTGGGCTGGGCTTCACTCTAGACCCTCACTCCAGGAAGTGACCTCAGAGCAAAGAACAGAGAGATCAAGATCCATGAGGCCGAGGTCATGGGCAAGGGATTTTGCAGTTTCCCCACTTGGAAACTGAGCCTCAGCCCTCCAGTTAGAGTCAAAACTTGCTTTTGGGCTCACTAGGAGGCTTGGGTGGGTGTGACTGTGTCAGAGCTCAGCTCAGCTCTTCCTTTACAGACAGGGAAACTAAGGTCCTGGAGGATTGATTGGCTCAGGTCCCTCACTAGCTCTGGGGGCAGAACTGGGTCAGAACGCAGATGTGGAGAGTATTTTTGAAGTGTTCACGAGCCTTATTTTAGCCTCCAGGTTTGCTCCTGCACTGTGCAAAGCCACTCGGTCACTTAAACACGCATCCTGGTGACCACCTGCCACGATGCAGGGGCAGTGGGTAGGCAGCCTTCCCTGGGAGCCCCGAGATGGGAACAGGAAACTAGCTGCCAGGGTCTGCGGACTGGGAACAGCTTCACTCCCTACCCTGCGCCAGGCCAGTTTCTGGGCCTGAGAACTAGAAGATTCTGCAGGACAGGCCAGCTTGATGGGTGGGGCAGAACATCCAGGTGATCTGGACCTCCGCCTTTACTCCTCGACTGCCTACAGGATGTCCCCCATGCTAATCACCAAACCCCTCCGGACCTCCATTTCCTTACCTGTCAAACGGGAAAAACAGAGCCTGCCTTAATCACAGCTCAAGGTTCCTGTGAGACTAAAGAAAGATGCTAGCCTCAAAGAAATGTGGGAAAAATCCAACAGCCCAAAGCTACTAGACAGCCTTAACTAGCACACTACACTACCTTTCCCCCTATAGCTCAGCTGGAAAGTTGAAATAAAACCCTTAGGAATCCAGTTATTGCTTTGTTTTCTCTTTTTTTTTTGAGATGGAGTCTCACTCTGTTGCCTAGGCTGGAGTGCAGTGGTGTGATCTCAGCTCACTGCAACCCTTGCCTCCCAGATTCAAGCGATGCTCCTGCGTCAGCCTCCCAAGTAGCTGGGATTACAGGTGTGTACATCACGCCTGGCTTATTTTATGTTTTTAGTAGAGATGGAGTTTCACCATGTTGGCCAGGCTGGTCTCTTAACTCCTGACTTCAGTGATCCGCCCGCCTCGGCCTCCCAAAGCGCTGGGATGACAGGTATGAGCCACTGTGCCCGTCCTGTTGTCTCATTTTCTAATGAACAAATACATGCCCTGGATCTCTGCTAAAGCAGGACACGCATTTAACAATAAGGATAATAATTACACGCTGTGACTCCACTCAGGGTGCCCCTGGGGCCCAGTTAGTGTCTAGGAGGTCAGAGAGCAGGGATTGTGCCCAGGCTAAAAGGCTACCAGCCCCAGGGTGAGGAACTGTCCTACTTGCCTGGGAGAGCAGAGGGGCTCTGTAGAGGAGTACGGGCTCCGGAAGGCTGCCTCCCGCCTCGACCGCCGTAACGGGCGGGCACATGAGCCCATCTGGGCAGAGAGGCAGTGATGCGCCTTCTCCCAGGGGCCTGAGGGTGAGTAGGCAGGGGTGGCTCCAGACAGCCGGGTGCTCTTCTGGCTCAAGCTGTGAGTTGGGGATCCACTACCCTTCTGTGCTCCTCTCTTCCTCCTCCTGGCCTTCACCTGGGTCTCCACCAGCCACTTGGTGCCACTTTGGCAGGACTCCTGGATTCTCTGGAATAGGCAAATGGAAATGTTAGCACAGACAAAACCAAGGGTGAGGCTGGGCGGCGGTGGCTCATGCCTTTAATCCCAGCACTTTGGGAGGCCAAGGCGGGCAGATCACTGGAGGTCAGGAGTTGGAGACCAGCCTGGCCAATGTGGTAAAACACTATCTCTACTAAAAATACAAAAAAATTAGCTGGGCATGTTGGCGGGCTGTATCCAAGAACCTGTAATCCCAGAATCCCTTGAACCCAGGAGGCAGAGGTTGCAGTGTTGCAGTGAACTGAGATCACGCCACTGCACTCCAGCCTGGGCGACAAAGTGAGACCCTGTCTTGAAAAAGCAAAAAACAAGGGTGAGCTACCACCACCCCTAGACCCAACAAGTGTCCTGTAAATACAGGCTGCTGTTAGTCTCCAGGGTGAGGGATGTGAATGACTCCTCGGGAAATGACTCCATGGCAGGGATCCAGCTCAGAGCTTTTGGATATGACAGCAGCAGTCAGCAGCAGGATGACCTGCCCTAGTGCATGGAGCCTGTTTGTCTAACTCTCCTTCCAGATACAGATTGACCCAACGACTGTGGCGGGGGCGGGGCAGAGAAGAGCAGGCCAGCCTGCCTACCACCCCCTGCATACCAGGAGAGCATTTGGGTGGATCACGACGCAGTTAGGAGATCAAGACCAGCCTAGCTAACATGGTGAAACCCCATCTCTACTAAAAATACAAAAAAATTAGCCAGGAATGGTGGCACACATCTATAAGCTCAGCTACTTGGGAGACTGAGGCAGGAGAATCACTTGAACCCGGAAGGCGGAGGTTGCAGCAAGCCGAGATCACGCCACTGCACTCCAGCCTGGGCAACAGAGCGAGACTCCATCTCAAAAAATAAAAAAAAAGTTTCCAAATAAGGACTAACATTTGGCTCAGAGAGCTCTCTGCAGAGGGTCTAGAAACAGCCACCCTCTCCGCTCATCTTTGGAATTCCCAGTGAGACATCGAGGAGAAACCTCTGCAGTCTCCAGTCCTCTCACTGAAGGTCCATTCATCCTAATGGCTTCTGTCCTTTCTAAGTGACCCCTCTCTACCTCCAGCTCTGGGTTGAAAGATGCATCCCTTAAAGGGCCCATAGACACTTACAGCCAATATAAGGATGTCTTCCTGCCAGCACCTCTCATTTCACATTAAATCCCCTCTAATCAACCTTCTAGGCAGTTCCCGAAGTTTATCCCCTGCAAGTCCAGACCCTTAGGTCCCCCTTCAGGAGCTTCTCTGCTTCCATTCCCTTCTCCATTATGTAGCTAAAGGGCAAATTCTAACATGCTAATTAGACCAGACTTTCCATTGTTTTAGAATCCTATGGACTCCCACTCCTGATCACTCCCGGGAGAGTCTAAGCTCCTTTATATCCTTTCTCCCTGCTCTACCTTGCCCTGTGTCCTTTGCTCATTCCCACACTAAAATTCTGGCTCTCCTCAGGGGTCCATGGCTGAGTGGGCAATCTTGTTTTTCCTCAGCTCCTCCTGCTCCAGGCCTGGACTTGAACTATTTCCACTGCCTTAAATACCACTTGACCTTTGGCTTCCCTGGGTGAACTCTGGAGGCACCTCCTCTGGGAAGCCTTCACCAACTAAGCTTTCGTTTGGTGAGCCCTTGCTATTGGCCACTTGCTTGCAATTTCCTATCACGTACAGCTCTTATCACCTGGTAGTGTGAGCATCTGTTTCCTCCAAGACATGCTTTCATTCATTCATTCAACTATTTGTTGAGCACCTATACATGCCAGGAACTATTTGGGGTGCTAGGGAAACAGCAGTGAACTAACCAAAGTCCCTGTCTTCATGGAGTCTATATTTTTGGAGGCTCTTTGAAGGCAGGAACTGTCTGGCACCAAGGAAACCCTTCATAAAAAAGATGGTTAGTATTGTCGGTATTACCTGGGACATTGCACCCAAGGCACTCTTAGCTGAGCGAGCTGCTGCCTGGAGGCCCTGCTGCCCTGGCTCTGGGGTTTCCAGACGTTTCCAGGAGGGGCCTGGGCGGAGGTTGAGGTTGACGGCTTTCAGGGGCAGCCTCCTTTGGAACTGTCTGCACAGGGACCCCAGGGCCCCGGAGGAGGTCTCCTGATGGCCGGCCACAGGCTGCAGCTCCTTGCTGTCCTCCAGCTGCTCTTGGTGCTGGAGAGATCTCCGGCGCACGGAGGTCCCCATGCTCTGCCACCGAGAAGCCATCTGCCAGGCCAAGTCTTTTCTGCCCACTACACCCTGGGGCGGAGGGCAAAGAGCAGGTCAGCAAGGCATTCCGCATCCCCATTCCCAGGCCCCACAGAGACCCTGGGCACAGGGGAGGAGATGGGATGCAGCAGGGTGGTGGGGAAGTTTGCAAGTGTGGGTGCAGAAAGGAAGATGCTTCCTGGAAGAGGGGTCTCAGGTCAGCAGGATTTCTGCTGTCCAGCACTTTAAGTTTCCAAAACAGCTGTCCTTTCATCCCAACCTCCTTCCTCTCTCTGCCTCAGGCAAGGAGGGGAGGCAGGATCAGGACACTCCAGAATCGAGCCTCAGCGCCGGGCCCAGGACACGATTACCATCTCCTTCACCAGCTCGGCCAGACCCAACGCACCACCGCCCAGACCCCGGCCTTCCCACCAGACGGCCCCTCGCCCTATTCCGATCCGACGCTTGAGGTACCCAGACGCACCCCCACGCCGTGCATGTCCGAACCTGAGGTCCTCCTGCTCTGAGCAGAAGCCCCACCACGGTCCCGCCCGCACTCACCAGACACCAACGCTGATCACACCCGAGCACGGCTGCTTCTCGCCCACTGCAGCCGATTTGAAACTCTGCGCGGCTCCGCCCCGGCCCGTCCTCCCAGCTGATTGGCTCCGTCCCCGTCCCCGCCGCCGGGCCGGGCATCCAATTGGCTCCCTCTCTAGCGGCTGCAGATGCTGCGCTCGGATTGGCCCAGGCGTCCCCATTCATTGCTCCGGCCCCCGCCCGGCCTCCAGCCTCGTGGCTCCTGGCTTTGTATCCCGCGTCCAGCCTTCGCGGGCCCAGCCCCCGCCCCCGCCCATCGCACGCCGGATCCCCTCCCAGGAGCGCGCAAAAGTCCAGGCTGCTCTGACCCATGGGGTGGAGGCGGAGGTCCAGCCACCGAGACCTCCTGGCTCAGGCTCCAGGCCCCGCAGCGCCAACCCGCCAAGGGGCCTGGCTTTTCCTTCTTGCTCAGTGGTTCTTTCAGAAAGAGCCAGGCGCTGGCAGCGCGGAGCCCTGGGTTTTCCAGAGACATTTTCTTTCAAATTTCCCTCCTGACCCTCCCTTCCTGTGACAAGACACTGCCCCTCTCGGAGTTCCCCATACTCGCCGTCCACACTCCGCCCCCCTAGAAAACGCGTCCTGGAAGTGGGGATAGACCAGAGGATACCAGTCTGCCCTCCTCCCGCCCACCCTGGCTCTCTGCCCGCGCCTTGCCTCTGGCATCCCTCCCTCCCTCCAGCGGAATGCCTGTCTCTCCTCTCCTTAGCATCCAAACAAAACAAGCCATTAGAAAGCTCTCTCCAACCCATCCTACTCCTTTCGGTGACCTCAAAGCAGCGCTGCCCACTCCCCCGGTTAGTTTCTTTGTTACTTCTCCCGCACAAGAGACTGAGATGATGGTTCCTTGAGGCTCTGTCTTCAACCCTCTTCGTTTCTGGGTGGTCTTACCCACTTTGACGTCAGTGATTTCCCCCCAAAGGATGATGATAAGGATGATGTGTATATGACACTTAGTATGCACAGGTCCTGGTGTTTCAGTTTATTAACTCATCTGACTCTCTGTTATGGTTTGACCATGTCCCTCAAATTGCAAATGTTGGAAATATAATGCCCAAATTCATATATGGGTGGCATTTTTTAGACATATAAATTGTTACTTATTCAAATTATACAGCACTGAAAAATAAGTGAATTGTAACCAGATCACTCTTATTTAGCTGTAACTCTGTATCTTTTAACAAATCTCTCCCATTCCTTCCTCCCACCTACCATTCCCAACTTAGGTGAATATCAGAAATATCATGTTAGATTTGAAAAAAAAGCAATATGCAGAGTATGACACCGTGTAAGTCAAAAGCAAAAAACTAAACAATATGGTTTAGGAATATACAGACACATTTGTGGACAAAGGTATTATGGAAAGCAAAATTATGTAAGCACCAAAATAAAATAGGTAGTCATTTTTGGAAGGGTGACAGGAGAAGAGGATGTATTGAGGGAAGGGCTCAAAGGACTTCAAAGGCAATGTTCCATTTTGTAGACTGGGTGGTAGCCACATGGATGTTTATTTTCTTCTTTTTGACCCCCTTTTAGACAGGATCTTGCTGTGTTGTCCAGGCTGGTGTGCAGTGGTGCAATCATGGCTCACTGCAGTCTCAAACTCCTGGGCTCAAGCAGTCCTCCTGCCTTGGCCTCCCAGAGTGCTGGGATTTCAAGCATGAGCCACCTTGCCCAGCCTTTATTATTCTGTAAATCATATATGTATATAATTTTATATGTATCACTTTATATATGTGTGTATACACATAGTATTTTGTAAGTATGAGTTACTTTGTAATTTTCTTTAAAATTTTTTTAAAAATTGACAAGTAGTAATTAAACATTTATGGGACACATAGTGATGCTCTGATACTTGTAATGTAGAGTGATCAGATCTGGGTAACTGGCATATTCATCATCTCAAACATTATCATTTTTCTGTGTTGGGAACAGTCAATATCTTCCTTTTAGCTATTTGAAACTATGTATTATTGTTCACTCTAGTCATCATGACTAGATGACTGTAGTCATCCCACTTTAGCTGTAACTTTGTATCTTTTAACAAATCTCCCCTATTCCTTCCTTCCACCTACCATTCCCAACATTTAGTATGTTAATGAGTTGAGGCCTTTGAGAGTTCATTAGCTTTAGATAAGAGCAAACAGAGTCTGGGGAGGTGGCTCAAGCCTATAATTTCCGCACTTTGGGAGGCCAAGGCATGTGGATCACTTGAGGTCAGGAGTTTGAGTCTAGCTCCGCCAACATGGTGAAACCCTGTCTCTACTAATAATACAAAAAAATTAGCTGGGTGTGGTGGTACATGCCTGTAATCTCAGTTACTTGGGGGCTGGGGCAGGAGAATCCCTTGAACCTGGGAGGCAGAGGCTGCAATGAGCCAAGATCGAGCCATTGCACTCCAGCCTGGGTGACAAGGGCAAAAACTCCATCTCAAAAAAAAAAAAAAAAAGTCAAACAGGGTGGGGCCCCCATGACTGTACTGGTAGCTTTAAAAGAAGGGGAAGAGTGACCTGAGCTGACAGGCACACTTTTGCCCTCTAACCATGCAATGCCTTCTGCCATGTTATATACGGCACAGCAAGAAGGCCCTTACCAGATGCTGACCAGATGCCAGTGCTATGCTCTTGGACTTCCCATCCTCCAGACCATAAGCTAAGTAAGTGTCTTTTCTTTATAAATTATGCAGTCCCGGCCAGGCGCAGTGGCTCACGGCTGTAATCCCAGCACTTTGGGAGGCCAAGGCAGGTGGATCATGAGGTCAAGAGATTGAGACCATCCTGGTCAACATGGTGAAACCCTGTATCTACTAAAAATACAAAAAATTAGCTGGGCATGGTGGCGTGTGCCTGTAATCCCGGCTACTCGGGAGGCTGAGGCAGGAGAATTGCCTGAACCCAGGAGGCAGAGGTTGCGGTGAGCTGAGATCGCGCCATTGCACTCGGGCCTGGGTCACAAGAGCGAAACTCCGCCTCAAAAAACAAACAAACAAACAAATTATGCAGTCTGTGATATTCAGTTATAGCAACAGAAAATAGACTAACACCCTCATTGTACCTACACTTGATGAGGAAACTGAGAATAGAGAATTTGATTGGGCCCAAATTTTACTCAGTCAGTCTACACCAGGGCCAAGGATTCAAACTTTATCAGTCTAGGACTAGGATGTCTGTGCCTAACCATCATACCACACTGCCCTTTCTCAGCCCCTAATACCTCCAACCCCAGCTTGGGCCTCTCATCAGACATGTATAGCCAACTACCTCCTGGGTCTCATCTCCTCTTGGGTGCTGCAGGCATCTTAGATGTACTTACCCTAGCTAAAGTCACCCTGGTCTCCTCAACTCTCCTTCTCCTCCCCCATATTCCCTCTCTCATGTCTTTCCAAATTGTATCAAATAGGTGCCTGTGATCAATTAAGCTAAAAATGGGCCGCAAAGGCCAACAAAGTAGATGCATTCCTTACCCTCACAGAGCTCAGATCTAGTGTGTGGGGAGATACAGACACGAATGGATCAGATAAACAGGAATCAATTAATCAAAGAAGTATGCAAAACTTATTTAAAGCTGAGACCAAGAGAATGATTTAACCAGGCAAAGAGAGAGAGAGAGAGAGAGAGAGAGAGAGAGAGAGAGAGAGAGAGAGACAGAGAGAGAGAGAGAGAGAGTTTTTCTTGACTGAGAGAACAGCATGTTTAAGGAACAAGCATTCAGTATAAGAGACCCAGCACACACACACATGTAAACTGAAACAAAAGTTTCGTGACACAATACTTGACTATGTGTGATATGCTCTGAGATTTTATTTTCTATTTCATAAAAAATAAAAAAATAACCTTGATGGTTACAACCCACTACATTTATTTTACAAGGGTCACTAATAGGGTATGGGTTGTGGTTTGCAAAATACTGCTCTAGTCTGCCTGTTCACTTTGTTACTACAGTGAAGTTGTTTATCAAGAGTCAGAAATGCTTGCTTTCAAACCTGTTTACAACAGCTGCATTTGTTACTATAATTAAGGAATTTAATTAATATCTTTTACCAATGAAATACAAGGGGTAAGAGTTGTTGTTTCTGTGAGAAGTAGGTTGAAAGTGTAGGGAAGACTCCATGAAGGTGAAACACTTAGAAACAAGCAAAGTCTGTCAAACTGGAGTGTCTTTTCACAATTTTCTCTCCAGTGCCTGTCATGTCACAGGCATCCGTAATAATAGCTTATATTTTTTGAGTCCTCACCATGTGTCAGACGCTCTGCTGAGTGTATTTATTTTCTCTCTTCTTTCTTAATCCTCAAGAAATTCTTTGAAGTAGGTACTATTTTTATTTCCATTACAGGTGACAAAAGTGAGATGCAGCTAGGTGAAATATCTGGTCCAAGATTGTGTGGAATGTCAGGACTGGAGCTTAAATCCAGTGTTTGACTTCAAATCCTGAATTCTTACCCTTAGATGACATAGCTTCATTGAGTATCTGGGATGAAACAATGAATGCATGCATGTATAAAGATGCCCTCCCTGCTTGGAGCTTTCCACCCCCTTCCCTCACTCAGGATAACTGGCAGGCCAGGTTAATGAAGAGCAGTCTCCATGGCAACGAATAAAGGGGGAAGAAACATTTTCTTCTGAATGAGAAGCTTTTCCCTTTTGCCTTCCATAGAGTGGCCGGAGGGAAGGAAGGAGGCTGTGCTCAGGGGAAGCAGTCTCCTAGTCCAGATGTTACAGGGGCTTCTGTTCTTGATAAGGAGGAAAAACCAGTCACTTTTTCCTAGCAGAGGCTTAATCCAGCATCACCCTTGCCTCTGTTGGGGACAAGGAACGAAGGAGGAGCTCCAGCCCTGCTCTCCAGGGGCTCTTTGTCCAAAAGCAAAGATCCACCAGTTTCCTTGACCTCCTGGAACTGTCAATTTGATGGAAGACATAGAAGTTAAACACGTCATTGTAAACAGTTACAATTGTGCAAAATACCATGAATGTGAAGTGCTAGGGAGAAGTGAGAGGGCATAAGGGAGATGGGGAAAGTGACTGGAGCTGGAGGTCAGGGTTGTCTTCCTGAACGTGTGGTGTTTTAGGTGAGGAGCATTGTCAAGCGTTAGGACAGGGGAAAGCCTGGGCAAAAAGGGTAGGGCTGAGATCAGGGGCTGAGGGTAGGGGATAGGGTGGCAAGAGACAGGGTCTGTAGGCCAGAGAAGGAGTTTAAAATTTGTCCTGAAGGCGGTAGCAACTCTTTGCTGAATTTTAAGAGGGCAGTAGATTACTGGAGTGGCATTTTAATAAAGTCCATGAGGAGACTGGTTTCGGAGCTGCTATGTTTTTCTTTGTTGTTGTTGTTGTTTAGATGGAATTTTGCTCTTATTGCCTAGGCCAGAGTGCAATGGCATGATCTCGGCTCATTTGTGGGAAACTGAATCCTCAAATTCATATGTGGATGACATTATGGGTGGGGTCTTTGGAGGGTAATTAGGATGAGATAACATCATCAGGATAGGACCCATGATAGGATTGGAGGCTTTACAAGAAGAGGTAGAGAGACCTGAGCTGATGTGCATGCTCTTGTCCGCTCACCGTGTGATGCCTCCCACCATGCTATGACGTAGTAAGAAGGCCCTCACCAGATGCCAGCGCCATGCTCTTGGATTTCACAGTCTTCCAGAACCATGAGCTACATAAATGTCTTTAAAAAAAAATTAATCATGCAGTTTCTGGTGTTCGGTTATAACAACAGAAAAATGAATTAAGACTGGGGCCAAAGGGTTTCTGGAGCATCAGTCTGAACCCTGTGGCCCAAGCCCAGGCACAGACCTGGAGTGAATCCTCATTCTTCTCAGCAGGGAAACCAACCCCCCTGGCATCAGCTTCAACATCCCCTTTTCTTTTCTCCCCCACCTCACCAAGTCAACCACAGGCTACGTCTTTCAGTTCTACTGTTTAAACATCTCTGCCTTGTGTGTGTGCTCTTTGACCCTCTACAAAGAGAAGCAACTGAAACAGTGGGAGAGTCTTAAGAAGGTGAGAAGAGACGCGATTGGATCTTCTTCTCCCACTGTGAATTATATCACTGTTAGAAAACCGCCTAAGACAAAATCTAGTGCAGTGAATACAGTGAGTTCTTAATGTTGTCAACCGATGTTTGAAAACTGACTTTAAATGAAATTATCTGTAAGGAAACCACATTTTTTTCTCATCAACATTATAACGAAATGATGATGTTGATTGAAATGATGTTATTTGAGGACCTGGTGTATGTCCTTTCACTTCTAACTGCAGTCTGCAAGAACCTAAAAGGACATTAATGAGGACTTACTGTACTTATAAAGCCAGCACCCATGTAACCAGCATCTAGGTCAAGGGTGAACATTGCCAGTATCCCAGAAGCAGACACTTGACACCTGCAAGTGACAAGTGTGTTCTCCCTCTCTCCTTAGATTTTTCTTTTTTAGATAGGGGAGCCTCCCTCTGTTGTCAGGCTGGAGCGCAGTGGTGAGATCTTGGCTCACTGCAACCTCCGCCCCTCAGCGTTCAAGCGATTCCCCTGCCTCAGCCTCCCAAGTAGCTGGTATTATAGGTGCCCACCACCACGCCCGGCTAATTTTTGTATTTTTAGTAGAGGCGGGGTTTCACCATGTTGGTCAGGATGGTCTCATTCTCCTAACCTTGTGATCTGACCCCTCAGCCTCCCAAAGTGCTGGGATTACAGGTGTGAGCCACCTGGCCTGGCCACTCCTGAAACTTTTATGGTTATCACTTTTATTTTCCTTTGTAGTTTTGATATGGCTCCGATGACTGGAGGAACTCCAGGGTTCTTGGTCTTGTGCCAATAGGATTAACAAGATGAACACACATGCCGTGGTTTTAAGGAGCAAAAAGTTTAATAGGCAAGAAAGAAGGAAGGAAGAAGAAAATAGCTCCTCCATACAGAGACAAAGGGACGGGGGGATTTGAACGAAGAGAAAACCCCCTTCGGCGTTTGGCGAAAAGTGGCTGCTTATATGAGGAGCGGGGAGGAGGTGGTTTCCATAGGGCCCAGGGGATTCATTTGACCAGGTGTGTCATTTACACAGTCCAAAAAAAACCTGGCCCTCCCACCTTAGCCCTTTAATATGCAAATGCAGGTCACCAGGATGTTCTGAACACATGGTGTTATCTGGAGGTGGCCATGACACTTGGTACACCTGGTGACAAGGAATAGACAGTAGGAATCGCCATATGAGTGAACCCAATTTCTAATGGCTGGTATTTGCATATCAAGGCTTGCCAGCCTGGATCTTCAAGCAGCCGTTTTCTGTCAGAAAAGAGATGGCGGCAAGGCGCAGTGCCTCACGCCTGTAAGCCCAGCACTTTGGGAAGCTGAGGTGGGTGGATCACGAGGTCAAGAGTTCGAAACCATCCTGGCCAACATGGTGAAACCCTGTCTCTACTAAAAATACAAAAATTAATTAGCCCATGGTGGCGTGCGCTTGCAATCCCAGCTACTCGGGAGGCTGAGGCAGGAGATTCCTTGAACCCAGGAAGCAGAGGTTGCCGTGAGCTAAGATCATGTCACTGCACTCCAGCCCGGGTGACAGAGTAAGACTCTGTCTCAAAAAAAGAAAAAGAAAAAGAAAAGAAAAGAAAAGAAAAGAGATGGTTTAGATGATTGCTTTTAATTGCAGGGAATTTCTTCAGAGACCCTTTACCCTTACTATCTGCCTAAAAGTTATTTCTTAGTAACTCCTATATTAGTTTTCCTAAGCATCCATTTTACCTGTGCATGCAGACCTCTCTAGGTTGCTGTGTCGCTAGAGAAAGGATGGAAGAGAGGAGGGGAAGGTATTTCTGCAGCCTTCCACCTTCCAGGGATGGAGACTGGACCCTTGGGGGTCTGACCAGGGTTCCCTGGCCTTGACCAGTTGTCCCAGGTTTGGTCTCCTCTATGCCAATTGCTCCTCATGGGAGGCAGGACTTTCAAGGGTGCCAGATTTCAGGGTCTCATTCACTGCTGCCAGCCTCTCAACCTGTCTCGAGAGGGAGGCAGCAGAGGCCAATTTTCCCATTTCAATTGGGAAAATGTAGTTAGTGTAAATGAGAGACACCCAAGGCCACAAGGTCAGTAAACAGGAAAGGGTCAGCCCTTTGAACTCAGCTGTATCTGGCTCAATCCAGTCCATTTTTTTTTTTTTTTTAAGACACAGTCTTATTCTATCGCCCAGGCTGGAGTGCAGTGCAGTGGTGTGATCTCAGCTTAGAGCAACCTTTATCTCCTGGGTTCAAGCAATTTTCCTGCCTCTGCCTCCCAAGTAGCTGGGATTACAGGCACCTGCCATCACTCCTGGCTAATTTTTGTATTTTTAGTGGAGATGGGGTTTCACCATGTTGGCCAGGGTAGTCTTGAACTCCTGACCTCAGGTAATCCACCCACCACGGCTCCCAAAGTGCTGGGATTACAACCATGAACCACCACACCTGGCATAGTCTAGTGTTTAGTTTATCTCTCTCTGTAGCAGGTCCCTTCCCTCTGCAACAAGTGAGCCTGGTGTCAGGAAGAGAATGATTTTGCAGAGCTGAGTCCACCACCCTCAGGGTGTAGAGGCGAAGGAGCTTGAACTGGCCACACGATGGTGCCAAACACCAAGTCTTAGCATTTTTTTGTTTGGCAGCCTGGAAGGGTGTCCCAGATGCCCTGAATGCACTCTGCCTGGTTCCAAGAGCACAGGGGTAAGGCCCTCCAAAGGGGAGGCTGGAGCGGGGGTGGCGAGGGCGCTTCAACTTTACCCAAACCCACCCTGCCCTTTGTTCTCTGTCTTCCTTCCCTCCCAAGCCAGAAACCTGTCCCCTCTTTCCTTGGGCCACCATCACAGGGCCTCCTAAAGGCAGATCCTGGGGAGGGGAGGGGGAACAGGGAAAGCAGGCAGGTGGCTGGATGGCAAGGGCCTCTGCTGCCCCACCTGGCCTGGGGTCCTCAGGGGCTTAGAGTCTGGGCTCAGCCCAGGCCTCCCCTCCTTTTCCCCTTTAGTGGCCTCCAGGCCTCCCTCCTGCTCACTCCTCCTTTCCTGCCTTCTTTAAGAACGATCCGGGGACCTTCTTCCTTCTTGAGGGGGAGCAAAACCCAAGCCTAGCACACCCCTGGCATGTGTCAGGCAGGGACCCAGAATCACTGGAAAGAGTGGTGGATGAGGAAGGAGGAGAGGCTGCCTGCAGACCACAGACCCTCGTGGCTCTGATGAGAAGCCAGGAGCCTGGGGCACCGCCCCCACTGTCTGCCCTCCCTCGCCACTCCTCCTGGCTGGGCAAATCCCAGAGTCTCAGCTGCCTAAGTGTCTTCCCCAGAGGTGAGATTATCTCAGCCTGTGTTGGACACCGCCTTTTCTCCTCCAACTTTTCCTCCTCCAACCATGGATGCCGCTCTGCTCCTGAACGTGGAGGGGGTCAAGAAGACCATTCTGCATGGGGGCGTGGGCGAGCTCCCAAACTTCATCACCGGATCCCGAGTGAGTAGGGCCCCTCTGGAGCAGAAGGATCCCCCAGAGCAGCCTTCCACATTCCAGGTGTGCCCCAAGGCACTGTAAACAGCTTTCAGCTTTGCCTAAAAGCAGCCAGGCAGCCCCAGCCCTGGGCCTTTGGGGAGCTCCCAGCATCTATGCCTTCATGGGGCATTTTTGGTACTTTGCAGATTCCACTTTTAGCATGAGCTGAGGGGAAGGACTTTTGGGAATTTTCTGGACGAAGAAGAAAGGAGGTCTCAGGGGCCTTGGTATTTGTCCCCAAATGTCAGTTGGGCTTCCCTGGACTGAAGGGTGTTTCTGTGGGCTTATTTGAGGAAGGATTTCCCAATAGGCAGGGCTGTGGGGGGTGAAATGGGGTCCATAGGGAGGGGGTGGGCTTCTCCTCCCTGGGGGGTGCAGGCAGTGTGGAGGTGCTCCAGGGCTCTGAGGCATCTGCTGGGGTGAACTGAGTGAGCTGACCGAGGACACCTGGGAGTTGGTGGCCGGGAGGTGGCTTCTGCCTGGCTTGGAGAGGTGTGTCTAGAGCAGAGCGTGCTGTCTTGGTGACCAGGTGATCTTTCATTTCCGCACCATGAAATGTGATGAGGAGCGGACGGTGATTGATGACAGCAGGGAGGTGGGCCAGCCCATGCACATCATCATCGGCAACATGTTCAAGCTGGAGGTCTGGGAGATCCTGCTCACCTCCATGCGAGTGCGCGAGGTGGCCGAGTTCTGGTGCGACACCATCGTAAGTAGGCCCTGCACCCAGTTCCCTGGGGCTGGTCTCTTACGGGCTCACCCACGCACTCAGTGGGGCTGCTGTGTTTCGGGAAAGCTGGGACTGAAAAAAAGCCCTGCAAAGCCAATCCTGCAACCTCATTCCCCATTGCTGTGGGTGTGAAGATGGAGGGAACAGGGCCTGGAAGGGGCGACCTGGGCCATGGCTGGCTGGTGGGGTGTGGGAGCAGGGCTATGCCCAGCAGGAGGGAGCCGGCCACTTCACAGTCCTCACGTGTCTGTGTGTGTGTGTGTGTGTGTGTGAGAGAGAGAGAGAGAGAGAGAGAGAGAGAGAGAGAAACAGAGAGAGAGGGAGAGGGAGAGACTGTCTCGCTCTGTCACCCAGGCTGGAGTACAGTAGTTTAATCATGGCTCACTGCAGCCCTCAACTTCCTGGGCTCAGGTGACCCTCCTACCTCAGCCTCTAAGTAGCACACCACCACACCCGATTTTTGTATATTTTGTAGGGACAAAGTTTTTCCATGTTGGCCAGGCTGGTTCTGAACTCTTGGATTTAAGCAATCCTTCCAACTCGGCCTCCCAAAGTGCTGGAATTACAGGCATGAGCCATCATGCCCGCCCAGTCCTTGCTTTTTATACAGCGTGATTCAACCTGGAGGCTTTTTTTTTTTTTTTTTTTAGACGGAGTCTCACTCTGTCGCCCAGGCTGGAGTGCAGTGGCACAATCTCGGCTCACTACAACCTCCACCTCCCTAGTTCAAGTGATTCTTCTGCCTCAGCCTCCAGAGTAGCTGGGATTACAGGTGTGTACCACCACACCCAGCTAATTTTTGTATTTTTAGTAGAGATGAAGTTTCACCATGTTGGCCAGTACGGTCTCAATCCATCTCCTGACCTTGTGATCCACCCGCCTTGGCCTCCCAAAGTGCTGGGATTACAGGTGAGAGCCGCTGTGCCTGAGCTAGATCTGGAGACTTTATAGGGGATGATTAGACCAGCATTGGTCACTTTTTCACCCTCCTCCTCATGTTGCAAGTTTCCCCTCTCTATTTATGGCACTGTGGAAGTTACTCTTATAAGTTAGCTTCCTTGCCTTATGGCAACACCCACTGACCTTTAGGCAATGTTTCTTATGGGAACTTTCAAACAGAAACAAAGTCAGCAGAAAGTATAATGCCCTTCTAAGAACCCATCACCCAGTGCCAGCCACCATCAACCCACGGCTGGTCTTGCTTTGTCTTCCACCCCACCCACTTCCCTTCTTTGTCTTGCACAGTTAAAGTAAAAGCCAGGCATCATATCACTTCATCTATAAATACTAAAATTTGTATCTCTAAAATATGAGGACTTTTTTTTTTTTGAGACAAACTCTTGTTCTGTCGCCCAGGCTGGAATGCAGTGGTGCAATCTCAGCTTACTGCAACCTCCGTCTCCTGGGTTCAAGTGATTCTCCTGCCTCAGCCTCCTGAGTAGCTGGGACTACAGGCACACCATGCCCAGCTAATTTTTGTATTTTTAGTAGAGGCGGGGTTTCATTATGTTGGCCAGGCTGGTCTCGAACTGCTGACCTCGCAATCCACCCGCCTTTGCCTCCCAGAGTGCTGGGATTACAGGTGTGAGCCACTGCACCTGGCCAGATATGAGGATATTTAAAAAACTTGACCATGACATCGTTATGAAATCTTTTAAAAACTCCAGTAATTCCTTCACCAACTAATATCTAGTCACTATTAAATTTTCTCTGGTTGACTCCTCTTTTATTCTTTATAAATGAATGAGTTTGGTTGGTTTAAATCAACAAAGTCCCTGCATAGCGAGTGCTTTGTTGATGTGTCTCTCAAGTCTATTTTTATCTATAGGTTCACCTTCTTTTCTTCTATTCTTTCTTGACATGGATGTGTTGAAGGAATGGGGTCAGTTAGCCTGCACAAGTCCCACATTCTGATTTTCCTGGTGCCGTGAAATGGTCTAACATGTTCCTTTATTCCCCATGTTTTTGATAAATTGAAAGCTGAGTCTAGAGGACTTGATAAGATTCAGATTCTTTTTTCTCTCTCTTTTTTAAAAAAAATCTGCTATGGATGATACCATATACTTCCCTTTGAGAGAAAGTCCATGACACCGACTTGTCTGTCTTACAGTGATGTTAAGAGTGATTGGTGAGTGTGGGTGTTGACAGCCTGATCCATCCATTCCAAAGCTATCCCTAGACTTTCAACATTGATGGCAGATACCCAAACTCATTATTTCATCAGAGGCCACTCACCTTTTAAATGAGCATTTCGGGGACAGTTTGAATCTGTTCTGTCTTTTATTAGTTGTGTGATCTGGGGAAGTCCCTTCTTCTGCATGCTACTCTATTCGTTCATTTATAAATAAACAAAACTCTAAGTTAAGGAGTTGTTTTGGAGATTAACTGATATAACATATGAGGGCAATTACAACTTAGAGCTATTATTTTGAGCTAGAATTTTTTCCCCCAAGATGGAGTTTTACTCTGTCACCCAGGTTAGAGTGCAGTGGCACAATCTCCGTTCACTGGAACCTGTGCCTCCCAGGTTCAAATGATTCTCTTGCCTCAGCCTCCTGAGTAAATGGGATTACAGGTGCCCACGACCACACCTAGCTAATTTTATTTTGTATTTTTAGTAGAGATGGGGTTTCATCATGTTGGACCAGGCTTGACCTCAAGTGATCTACCTGCCTCAGCCTCCCATAGTGCTGGAATTATAGGCGTGAGCCACAGTGCCCGGCCTAGAAAACATTCTGAGATTAACTTCTTCACTTTACTAATGAGAAAACTTAAGACTCCAAAAAAAGGAAAACTTGTAATGGCTCAAACAGGTTAAGAGAAAAGATCTGGGTGAGACACATGGGTTCCCTCTTCATCCTGTACGTTTCTCACAATGTCTAATAGAGTTGGGCTGCAGTACCATCCCCTGCCAGTAGGTGATCCCACCCAACATGTTATTCATTTCTTCATTCATGTAGCACATATTTGTTGAACATCTTTCCTTTGTACCAGTCCTTGTGTTTTTCCCCCTTCTGATGTTTTTAACTTAAAATCTGTTTTATTTTTATCAAGTCAAGGCTTCAGAAAATTGGCTTCTTTGTGATTTTAGTGAGATTAAAAATATATCTATTGACTTTGCTTAGAGTGAGGGACTCCTGTACTTCAATTCACGCCATATGAGAGGCAAGGCTTGGCTGCCACCAAGAACCCCCTCTCCATAGGATACATGTTCATTAACACACGACAGCTGAGTGCATAGAAGGCTGTCAATAAATTCTTGTTTAGATGATTGATTTGTTGTTTGCAAAACCACAAGCTGTTGTCATTCCCATAACATGGGCATGTGTGTTCCTTTGTCCACATTGACAGTCACATGAGTGCACTGCCCTTATCACAGGCTGAACTTTTTTTTTTTTGAGACAGAGTTTCGCTCTTGTTGCCCAGGCTGGAGTGCAATGGTGTGATCTTGGCTCACTGCCACCTCTGCCTCCTGGGGTCAGGCGATTCTCCTGCCTCAGCCTCCTGAGTAGCTGGGATTACTAGTGCCCACCATCATGCCCAGCTAATTTTTTTTTTTGGTATTTTTAGTAAAGACAGGGTTTCACCACATTGGCCAGGCTGGTCTCAAATGCTTGACCTCAGGTGATCTGCCCCGTTGGCCTCTCAAAGTGCTGGGATTATAGGTGTGAGCCACTGTGCCCAGCTGGTAACTGTTATACCATAGTAACTATGGGTTTTCCCAATCTCCACACCCCTCCCATCTCCTCACCCCAGCACACGCGCGCACACACACACACACACACACACACCCCTTCTAGAGTTATTTCTTTACCTGCACTCCCACCTCTTATCCATCCACCCACTTGCCCAGGCATCAATTCATCCATTCTTCCCTTCAACCAATCTTCATTCATAATGCAGTCTTTCATCACTATGCATGCATCCATCATCTCCTATCTATCTCCTGTCATTCATCTGTCTGTCTATCTATTGATCTATCTATCTATCTATTTCTATCTAATTAGAAAACATTCACTGGGCACCTCACTTGGCCTGTGCTGTATGTTAGGAATGAAACAAGTGAAGCTTCTAGCCCATAAAGAACTTGAATTCTGGAGAAGCACACACCTAAACAATTGTAATGCAGGGTAGCCAGTGCCACAACATAGATAAGTGAGGGCAGTGTGCTTTGGGACCACAAAAGCACGCCCAGCTTGTTTGGAGCCATGGGGTGCCGAGCTGGGGGCTGCTGAGTCAGGACCAGGGTGCTCCCTCCCTGCAGCAAGCTGGTTCTGGGGCCTCTCCCTCCCTTGGTCCAGCTCTAATCCCAACAGGCTCAACAGCCATCTGCTCGTCTCTTCCACAAAGAGGCAGAAGGCATTTCGGGCTAATCCCAGCTGGTGGTGGGATGGGCGGGGTGACCTCTGTCTCTGTGCTGCTGACCTGGAGGCAGAGCTGAACTGCTGCACAGTTTCATCTGCTTCTCTTCCCAACAACATGTTGCATATAGGGCCAGAACTGGGTCATCTCAGAAGCCAGTTCAAGGAGATGGGTTCTCAGAGAGCCTAGTTGGGGAAATTGAGGTCCAGCATACATACAGCAGGACTCGCTAAGGCTGCACAGCTGATTTTCCCAGCCCTTCTTCATCCCAAGAGTGGCAACCTCTGCTCCCATTCTGGCTGAGGCTGTGATGAGCCAGACCTATATCTGCACTGTCCCATTTAATCCCTACAGCAGCCCTAATACTAGACAGGAGCAACCCAGGGAAGTGGGCTTCAGAGAAGTACAGAGACCTGGACTCACCGCCAATCTGCAGCAGTTCCAGGATACCAAAGTGACTCTCTCTGACCCTGGAGTCCTGCTCCTTCCACTGCACCACACTGCCCTTCCTGTCAGTCATAGGCTTTGCAGAGCTCAGAGTTTCCTTGGGGCAGAGATGTATTACAGTGGACCACAAGGGCCAGAAGAGGTAGCCAGAGGCTAAGAGCATTTGGTCTCTGGAGCCAGGTTTGAATCCTGGCTGCATATTTCCTAGCTGTGTGACCTTAAGCAAGTTGCTGTGCCTCTCTGGGCTGTAGTTTCCTCATCCGTAAAGTGGGTATAATAGTGCCTCCCTTCACTTGTAAGGATTAAAGGAGCTCACAATGGTGTAAAGTGCTTTGCCTGGCACACAGTGAATCATAGTTAGTATTAGTGGCATAGTGAGGTGGCAGGATTCCTGCTAGGAGGGGCTCCGAGTGGAGGCCTTTTGTGGCCCACCTAGCTCTCAGCAGGTAGCCCAGATGCCATCTGTTTCTCTCCCCAGCACACAGGGGTCTACCCCATCCTTTCCCGGAGCCTGCGGCAGATGGCCCAGGGCAAGGACCCGACAGAGTGGCATGTGCACACGTGCGGGCTGGCCAACATGTTCGCCTACCACACGCTGGGCTACGAGGACCTGGATGAGCTGCAGAAGGAGCCTCAGCCTCTGATCTTTGTGATCGAGCTGCTGCAGGTGGGTCTTGGGGTGGGCAGGGCTGAAGGGCTGTGCCAGCACCAGAGAGGGACAGCAGGCATCATGGGCACCCCCTATCCCACTGACCACTGGACAGTGCCCTGTTTCTCTTTAGAGAATCACAAAGGGTTCACAAACCACAGGGGAATATGAATTTGAAAAAAAAAAAAAAAAAGGCCTCTGCCTTTTCCATGCAAAAAGTCCATTGGGTGCTGGGCATGGTGGCTCATGCCTGTAATCCCAGCACTTTGGGAGGTCAAGGTGGTGGATCACTTGAGGTCAGGAGTTCGAGACCAGCCTGGCCAACATGGTGAAACCCTGTCTCTATTAAAAGCACAAAAATTAACCCGGCATGGTGGTGCGTGCCTGTAATCCTAGCTACTCAGGAGGTTGAGGCACGAGAATTGCTTGAACCTGGAAGGTGGAGGTTGCAGTGAGCCAAGATTGCGTCATTGCACTCCAGCCTGGGTGAAAGAGTGAGACTGTCACTAAAAAAGAACAAAAAAAGAAAAGTCTGTTTGGAGCCAATTTTTAAAAATGTGCCTCATTTTCATTTTGGAGGTATTTTACTGCAGTGCAATTGTGCGATCTCAGCTCACCACAACTTCTGCCTCCTAGGTTCAATCGATTCTGCCCCAGCTGGGATTACAGGTGTCCGCTACCACTCCTGGCTAATTTTGTAGCTTTAGTAGAGATGGGGTTTATCCATGTTGGTCAGGCTGATCTTGAACCCCTGACCTCAGGTGATCCATCTGCCTCGGCCTCCCAAAGTGCTGGGATTATAGGTGTAAGCCACTGCGCCTGGCCAGCATTTTACTTCTATTGGTTATCAACTTCCACTGTTTTTCCAAGAGTTTAAGATTATAACCTCTTCCTTCCTGTGGTTTGTGGATTCAGACTTGGTTCTCAAGTAGTGGGAGAGGCTGCATGGCACTCCCCACATCCTCCCACCCAGAGCCCCAGAGTGACTGGCAGCGCATGTTTGTGGATTGGTGGGAGAGGGTTAGGGCCAGGATCAAGGTCATGCTGGGACTCAGCTATGGCCAAAACGAGGCTCAGCCTGAGAGTTATGTGGGTGAATAAAAATACAATGAGAACTGTGTCAACGAAGGGCCTTTACAGGCTTACTGTCACAGTCAGCTGCGTGGTCTGTGTACTGCGCAGGATGTACCGGCATCTCCTCCAAGGTGCTCATTATAGGCATTGTATATTGGTATTGCTATAATGACCATTTTCCAGCAGATGGCAACAGTGCATTGTTCTAACAAAACGAGTATTCCTGACAATTTTCTTTTCCTTTTTTTTGAGACGGAGTCTCACTGTTGCCCAGGCTGGAGTGCAATGGCGGGATCTCAGCTCACTGCAACCTCCACCTCCCAGGTTCAAGTGATTCTCCTGCCTCAGCCTCCCGAGTAGCTGGGATTACAGGCATGTGCCATCACTGCCAGCTAATTTTTTGTCTTTTTAGTAGAGATGATGTTTTACCATGTTAGCCAGGATGATCTCAATCTCCTGACTTCATGATCCACCCACCTTGGCCTCCTAAAGTGCTGGGATTACAGGCATGAGTCACTGCACCTGGTGACAATTTTCTGAATATTAGAAGTGAAATGTCTTGAAGAATGGGCACCTTTTCCTTGTTTGCACAAAGGCACTGATTTAGGGCAGGGTTTTTGGCCTTGTTGCTTCTTTCCCTTGTCTGTATGCAATTGACCAGCAAGCATGACTTCAGGGAGACATGCCAGGGCCCACTTTCTCTGGTCCCTGCTGGGGTGAGGCCCCCCGGGGTTCCTTCCTCAATGACCTGCAGCTCTGGGGCCAGGTTGATGCCCCGAGTGATTACCAGAGGGAGACCTGGAACCTGAGCAATCACGAGAAGATGAAGGTGGTGCCTGTCCTCCATGGAGAAGGAAATCGGCTCTTCAAGCTGGGCCGTTACGAGGAGGCCTCTTCCAAGTACCAGGAGGCCATCATCTGCCTAAGGAACCTGCAGACCAAGGTGGGAGGCCACTGGCAGGGGGTGAGAAGTGGGGCTGACTCTGGGGGACCTGCCCAGTGCTGGCCAGGGTGGGGCGAGGGTCAAGCAGCAGCCTGAGGTCACGGCTGATGTTCTTTTTGGGCAGGAGAAACCCTGGGAGGTGCAGTGGCTGAAGCTGGAGAAGATGATCAATACCCTGATCCTCAACTACTGCCAGTGCCTGCTGAAGAAGGAGGAGTACTACGAGGTGCTGGAGCACACCAGCGACATTCTCCAGCACCACCCAGGTGCATGGGGCTGGAGGGGTGGGCAGAAAGGGGGCGGGGCGCCCAGCCCAGGGCCACAGAGACACCTGTCACAACCTCCCTGGACTTTCCTTTCCACCCCATCAGGGCACCGAACTTTGTCTCCACCCAGCCGGGTTTCCCAGGGTGTGTTACTGAATCCTGAGTGATTGATGGGCAGTGCTTGGTGCGGGGCCTTTTATTTTAATGTGTATTTGAATGCTTACCAAGGAAGCTCACCAAGCCTGTGATTTCGGTGGAACAGTGAACAGGCTTTTAAAAAAGAGGGGCACTCAATATAGAGAAAAATATTATGTGGATACTAGTATGGGTGGTGCGAGGATGTGGGGCCGCGGGTACTAGTGTTGACTTAACACTCTGACAGCGCTCACAATAACAACAGCCAGCACTTGGCTCATCCATTGGGCACAAGTCCTCTGCTTGATTATCTCATTTAATCCTCATCATCCTCATAATCACCATATGGGGGAGGTGCAGGGAAAGGGCCTGAAGGTTATCTAATTTAGGGAGTGTCTATAAGAAAAAGAAAACAAAGTTAAGAATATAAAATTAATCATAGGGCCTTGAAAAGGAGAGGAGGCAGTACTGCTATTATGGTCATCATCTTCATCTTACAGTTGGGGAAACCAAAGCACGGGGGTTACAGTTTAAGGATCACAGCCCGGCTAAGGGTCTTGTAGGCTGGTGAGTGCCAGCTGGGCGGGGGTTGCCTCTGAGGCTGGGCAGGGTGGCTGCAGCTGGATGCTCCCCACAGGCATTGTGAAGGCCTACTATGTGCGCGCCCGGGCTCACGCGGAGGTGTGGAACGAGGCGGAGGCCAAGGCGGACCTCCAGAAAGTGCTGGAACTGGAGCCGTCCATGCAGAAGGCGGTGCGCAGGGAGCTGAGGCTGCTGGAGAACCGCATGGCGGAGAAGCAGGAGGAGGAGCGGCTGCGCTGCCGCAGCATGCTGAGCCAGGGGGCCACTCAGCCTCCCGAAGAGCCACCCACAAAGCCACCTGCAGAGCTGCCCGCAGAGCCACCTGCAGAGCCATCCCTGTCCCCAGGGCACCCACTGCAGCATTGACCCCCTGAGGCCCACAGCCAGCCTGGCACCCAGGCAGGGAGCAAGTAGCCCAGTCACTTCTGGTTCAATTGACCAGGATTGTGGTGTTGCTTTTTGAAATTCAAAATTAATCTTTGAAATCAAAGTCAGACATGCGATGTTAAAAAAAAAAAAATTCCAAAGGGCACAGAAGAACTTATGATTGAATAAAAGTGGTTTTCTCCCCTACCTGTCCCATTCCTTCTATGCCGTGGTTTTAATTGACCCTGTTTTTTGTTCTTCTGGTAGTTTTCTCTATTTCCAAGTAATCTGTTTAAATCAGTTTCTCTACCTGTTGGTTTTACCCCGTGTCAATGACAAATGAGGATCTGATGCTCTGATCCTTTCTCATCCCTGCTACCCCTCTCTGTCTCCCCATGTTGGATAGTTACATTTGTGGGTCATTTCTTGGTTATTTTTGCAACTTTATGCAGGACACCTAGAACTCTCTAGAATCCCACTGACTTTAATGGGTCTTGATGTAGGGTGAGCAAGCCCCAAAACTGGAGCTTAGCCAGAGTGGGTTCTTGGCTTCTCCCAGGAGAGATTTCAAGGGCAAGCCAGTGGTAGGGCAGAAGAAAACAGCTGTGGCTGGGAGCGGTGGCTCACGCCTGTAATCCCAGCACTTTGGGAGGCCAAGGCGGGTGGGTCATGAGGTCAAGAGATCGAGACCTGCCTGGCCAACATGGTGAAACCTTGACTCCACTAAAAATACAAAAATTAACTGGGTGTGGTGGCACGTGCCTGTAATCCCAGCTACTAGGAAGGCTGAGGCAGGAGAATGGCTTGAACCTGGGAGGTGGAGGTTGCAGTGAGCCGAGATCGTGACAGTGCACTCCAGCCTGGGTGACAGAGCGAGACTCCATCTCAAGAAAAAAAAAAAAAAAAATTCTAGGAAAGAAGTAGTAACTTCTGGGTCCTGGGGTCATTGCCACAAAAAAAGGCAGAAATGCCAGGGTGTCGCCATGGCAATGGGAAACTGACATGGCACCTGGTTGGCATATCTTATGGAAAGCTGCTTCACTTGCCCCTGTTTTAGATCTTCAATTTAGTCTGGTGTCCAGACCCCACTGCCTCCCTCAGTCTGGTGACCTTCTGTGTCTGCTGAGCACGGCAGTGCTGGGATCTTCCTTTCCTACTCCCTGCCTCCTCTTGATCCTCCTTAAAGAAGGAAGAGTAGGAGGAGGTGCTGTCACACCACTGACATCCTCTAGCACCACCCAGGTGCATGGGGTGGGGCAGGTGGTGATGGAGTATCTGGCCCAGCACCACGTAGTCAACTGCCAAGGCCTTCCTGGGCTTCTCTTCTGCCCCAGAGCTTGTCTCCACCCAGCAGGGGTTCCCCAGCACTAACTGTATCCCCAAAGTTCTGATGTACTTTACTTTTCCATCACCCCTGTTGTTAACATCTATCTTCTGCTCTGTGAGCAAAACTAAGTCTTCTGTGCTTTGTCCACAGGTTGACTCTAAAATCGGAAAATCAGTAAACAGCATTTGCATGACTGTGGCTGTGTACGTGTTTTTCCGCAGGGCCTAGTGTGATGCCTCCACTTCATGGTTTTCTCTGTGGTTCCAATTTCGCCACCCCTGGGCCACCAGAGCGAGGGTATTTCTGGCCCTGTCCATTTTCTGTATGTAGCTGTCCTACCAGCTGCCCTTTCTCTTGGGGACCAGCAGCAAGGGTCCCCCCTCATTTGTGGCCAGAACATGGCCTGTGGGCTCCCTGGTAGGACAGCAGTCCAAATCCAGCCCTGGCTCCTGCTTGGTCCTGTCTGGCTCATCCTGTGTGGATATCTCCCCTTCTGATGCCTCTGGATGTTTGAAAACAGGAGAACAGGGATAGCAACCAGGGTGCCCATAGCATGTGGTGGGAGATACGCTGGAGAGAGGGTGCACAGGGACCCTTGTCCTATTGTTATGATCCTCCAAAGGCAGAGCTGGGCCCGCAGAACCACTTCAGAAACTGCTGCATCCCGAACCCCATCTTCCTCTAGCAGAGGAGGTGGGATGCAGACTTGGGAGAGATGCAGGCAGCCTCCCCATCCAGGGCTCTAGTTGCTGCGTGGGCTTCTTTCTGCTCCCTGAAACCCAGTCTAAAGCAAAGGCCTGGCTGGCCAAGCCTGGGCGGGCAGTTACAATAGGTTGCAGTGTCTCTCTCTCAAAGGCTTCTTTCCTCTCGATCCATCCAGAATGCTTTGTTTTCAAGTTGCCAGCAGGGGGCAGCAGAGAACAAGAAAACAGGTCCCCGCGGCAGGCGATGGCAGTTTTGGGCACCAGATGTGGCAATTTTCCATCAGCCCTGTCACTGACGGCTGCAGGTCACCAGGTCAGGCAAGCTGTGGACAGGGAAGAAGGCATTTAGAACCACGGAATGAGGCTGCCAACAAACTAGGTCGTTGGAGGCAACTCGGTCCCAACCCCTTGTACAGATGGGGAAATTGAGGCTTAGAGAGGGGCAGTAGATCCAGGATTAGCGTCAGGTTTCCAGGTGTCTGGGCTGGGGCTTTTATTTATTTATTTATTTTGAGACGGAGTCTCACACAGCGGCAGGCTGGAGTGCAGTGGCACAATCTTGGCTCACTGCAACCTCAGCCCTCTGGGTGCAAGTGATTCTCCTGCTTCAGCCTCCTGAGTAGCTGGAATTACAGGTGCCTGCCACCACTTGCAGCTCATTTTTTGTATTTTTAGTGGAGACGGGGGCTTTACCATGTTGGGCAGGCTGGTCTCGAACTCCTGACCTCATGATCAGCCCGCCTTGGCCTTCCAAAGTGCTGGGATTACAGGCGTAAGCCACCACACCCTGACTTTTTTTTTTTTTTAAACTATACTGTGCTGCTTCCTTCACCAGAGGCTTCACACGTGGATATGAAACATTTTTTTAAAAAGGAGAAAACGTGAAACTTGTATCAGGCAGCAGCCTGGGGCATGCCAATTGCCTTTGTTTGGGAGCAGCTGGAAGGGTCAACATGAGAAGAACCTGTGTGGGTTTTGCAGCCCCATTTGGCCTGGCGTGTCCTCAGGAATCATTACTGGTTAATCAAGGCATTTGCTCCCAGGGAGCAGCCACCATTCCGACCTCTGGAGTTGACAGAGACCCTGAGACCAGGGAGTCCTCTGGGTCAGTAGTAAGGGGCTTAGTGGCCTGAGGGACACCCCTTCCTGGGGCATTGTGCAGGGGCAATTGTTTCCCACGGTGGCTGCAGCAAATTATTGCAAAATTAATTGCTGAAAACAACACAGAAGTATTCTCTTACTGTTCCTGAGGTCAGGGATTCTAAACTAGGTTGGCACGGCAGTGTTCCTTCCAGAGGCCGGAGGGGAGAGTCCACTTTCTTTCCTGCCGTTTTCAGCTTTTAGAGGCTGCCTGGATTCCTTGCTGCGTGGCCCCTTCAAAGGCAGCAACGTAGCATCTTCCACTCTGCATCCCTCTGCTTCCACCATCACGAGGCTTCTGTAGGTCCCTGACCCTCCTGTCTCTCTCTGATAAGGACTCATCTGCATACATTGCCTCCACCTGCTGGTTTATAGAGGCTCTTCTCCCCACCTCAAGGCCCTTAATATAATCACAGCTGCAAAATTCCTTTGCTTAGAAAGTAACCTATCCACAGGCTCTGGGGATTCGAATATGGGCATGTTTTATGGGGTGCATTACACAGCCGGTGAGTCCCTGTGAGTTTCTGATCTGTCCTCTGCCTAGATGCTCTGTATCCTGGAGCTCAGCCTACAGATGTCCCTCCCGCTGGGTTTGGCCTGCAGGGGGCAGCATGATACCTGGTTGCAGGAGGATGGCACTGGGGTGTTTACTTCCTGGATTCCCTCCTTGCTGGGCTGAGGTCTGGCAGGGGTTGTGCTTTTTCACCTGTGGTCACAGCAGGTGTCCCGGGCCACAGCTCTCGCTGGTCTCCAAGCAGAGCCTCCTCTGGGTCCTGTAGCCTTAACGTGGCAATGTTTCCCACGGGAATGTTTCCACTCCTGCTCCTCCCCGCTAGCTCCCACCATTCTTTGCTGGCTCCTCAATTCATCCCCCATCTTTATTCTGCCTCTGTGGCTGCCCCGTTCGCATAAGCCAGCCACCTGTTGACTTCCAGCCCCTGCCCGAGCAGGTATCACATCACTGCCAGGATGCAGGCAGCAGAGGAAAGCCAAGGAGCTGAGAACACACACCATGTCCCCAGTGCCTCAGGGGTGTGGGCAGAATTGGAACTTAGGCCCAGATGCCACACATGGGCATTAGCGCTGGCATTTTCCAGCCCCCCAGGGCACAGCTGCCTCCAACACCCTCAGTTGATGCCCTCCATGGCAGAGCCACCTTCAGGGAGAAGTTCTAACCAGAAGTGTTAGACAGTTTCTGCCTCCTGTGTTCAATCAATTCTCCTGCCTCAGCTGGGACTATAGGCACATGCCACCATGCCCAGCTAATCTTTTTGTATTTTTAGTAGAGACGGGGTTTCACCATGTTGGCCAGGCTGGTCTTGATCTGACCTTGTGATCCACCCGCCTCGGCCTCCCAAAGTGCTGGGATGACAGGTGTGAGCCACCACGCCCGGCCACCACTATTCTGAAAGCCAGACAGAAGTAATGGTGTGCTTTAACAGTGGAGAGGGGAGGTTCCACAGCCATCACAGGGCATGGCGTTTGTGTGGAAGAGCAGCCGGGGACCAGGGGACAAGACATCTTTGTGATGCAGTCCACGAGCCCGCTGTAGTGTTGCCCTGACAGTCTCTCTCCGACTCCATCTACCTGCACACCACAGACCACTCTTGGGCTGCCTGAGCTACACGGTGAGTAAACTTCTTCCAGTTTCCTGCAAGGTCGCTGTTCCTATAGGTTCTCAACAGTAGTTTAGGGTGGAGGGAGCTTAGGATGGAGGGGCTGCCTGAGCCTTACCTGTGTCCTGATTTCCCCTGAATAACAGATCCTCACCGTGCCAGCTGCCTTCGAGGACCCCGTGGCAGTCCAGGTTTGATTGCTCTGATAGCCGACATCTGCACGATGTTTTTTTTGTGTTGTTGTTGTTGGTGTGTTTGTTTTTGAGATGTAGTCTCACTCTCACCAGGCTGGAGTGCAGTGTCAGGATCTCGGCTCACTGCGACCTCTGCCTCCCAGGTTCAATCGATTCTCCTGCCTCAGCACTCTGAGTAGTTGAGACTACAGGCACCTGCTACCATGCCTGGCTAATTTTTGTATTTTTAGTACAGATGGGGTTTCACCATGTTGGCCAGGATGATCTTGATCTCTTGACTCATAATCTGTCCTCCTCATCTCTCAAAGTGCTGGGATTACAGGCATGAGCTACGGCACCTGGCCTGCATGCTGGTTTTTAATCTTCCTCCCTGGGCTTGCCAAGTTTTGTACTGGGAGAGCCCATCTCGAATTTCACCTTGATCGAACGGTCCATGGGTGAGGGGTCAGCTTGACCACCTCTGAGTGCTCGGGATAGGGGGACTGTGCCCTGCTCGGCCTCTTTCTCTGTTCCTCTCCCACTTGAGGTTTTAGTGGAAAGGTTAGGTAAACCTGCATTCTTGTTTATGGTGGTTTCAAGTCTACAGAGTTCCTGGCCTAATTACAATTGCTCCATTACTTCAGGTATTCTCATTAGTTCGAGAATCTGATGAACAAAGAATTTCGCCTTTCCTCTTGCCACCAATAAAAATATCACTTGAAGATGAAGTGGAGCATTTGTCTTTTCTCAGCAGTCTTGGGGCTGGCAGCTCTTACTGAGCGTGACAGTCTTTGGAGGGCAGAGGATTTTGCCTTCTTTGTTCACTGCTGTATCCTCAGTAGCTAGAATTATGCCCGACCCATTCTGGGGGTTCAGGAATATTGACTGAATGAATCCATTTCTTTCTGAAAAACATGTTGCAATTCTTACAAGGGCAAGGGCTTTCAGAAATTGTCCAGTTTGGCCGGGCGCAGGCTCACACCTGTAATCCCAACACTTTGGGAGGCTGAGGTGGGCTGATCACGAGGTCAGACATTCAGGACCAGCCTGGCCAACATGGTGAAACCCCATCTCTAGTAAAAATACAAAAGAATTAGCTGGTTGTGGTGGTGTGTGCCTGTAATCCCAGCTACTCAGGAGGCTGAGGCAGGAGAATAGCTTGAACTTGGGAGGTGGAGGTTGCAGTGAGCTGAGATCACGTCATTGCACTCCAGCCTGGGTGAGAGAGCAAGACTCTGTCTCAAAAAAAAAAAAAAAGAAATTGTCTAGTTCAGTATCTTATAGTGCAGATGGGGAAACTAATAAGCTTCTTCACTAATGGCAACTTCAGCTGTGGGCTGGTCTTCCTCCACCTAGATAAGATCTATTAAGATCGCCAGTCAGTTATCCCTATTTCTTGACAATATTTCACCGAGAGCAAAGCCCTGTTCCCTTAAACTCTCTCCCAGGCCATATAACATCAGCCCAGTTCTATAACAGGTTCTTCCTAGTACTCTCTTACTGGGACGCCCACAGTTGCCATGATGTGTGTTCTCTCACTGCAAGGGCCCGTGAGTCCAG